CGGGAAACTCGGGGAACTGTGGCATCGGATCTCCCGTAAATCGCTCTCGGCGCGTATCCTAAGCGGAGTCCCGCAGCCGTCACCGGGAGAACTCGTTTCCGCCCATGCATCTACCTCTCTCCGTCGTCGCCGAATCGTTCATCCCGCCGGGGGGCGGCCGCCTCGATTTCGACACCGTGGGGGCGCCTCGCACCCTGCGGCCGCGGCCGGTGGGCGCCGATGGGTCGGCGGAAGCGAACCTGCGGTCCGACCTGGCGTGGTTTTGGAACTCGAACGCGGACTGGGCGGAAGATCAGATCGCCGTCGGCGAGACCTACGCGACGCTGGTGCGGCGGCTGGTTGCGAGCGTCGGACTGCGGGACGGTGACAAGGTCGTGCTCTCCGCCTCCGAGCCGGACGATCGCCGGGAGGTCTGGCGAAGCGCGCTCCCGGACGGCGTCGAGGCGTCCGACTGGCGGCCGCGCCGCCTCGGGCGGGTTCTGGTTCGCGACCTCGAGGCGCTGCTCGACGATCGGACCCGGCTCGTGCTGCTCACCAAGGCGTGTCCGGTCACCGGCTCGCTCAACGAGGTCATCCCGGTAGCGCAATTCCTCGAGGGGACGGATGCGGTGCTCGTCACCGAGGCGAGCCACTTCGTGGCCCACGGTTCGCTCGACATCCGCAATCTCCGCTGCGACGCGGTCATCGCGAACGGCGACGAACTGTTCGGCGCCCGCGGCGCGACGCTCTGGGCGCGCCAGCGCGGTTCGGTGGTCGAGAAATCCACGAACGGCGCCGTTTCGCCGAACACCCTGGCGGGGCTGGCGCGGGCCGTGTCCTACGCGGAGCGGCTCGGCGACGCGCCGAACGCCCTCGTGGTCCCTCCCTCCGAGCGCTTCGGACGGCGGGAACCGATGCGGAAGGGAATGCAGAGCATTCGCCAGGAAGAGCGCATCCTCAGCCGTCTCATGCTCCGGGGCCTGTCGCGCATCGAGGGGATTTCGCTGCTCGGCGAGGACGACCCGCGGCGGGCGGCCTACCGGGTCCCCACCTTCAGCTTCACCGTGGACGGCGGCGGCGCCCGGGAACTGGGTTCCGCGATCCGGGACGCCGGAGTCCAGGTGGGCGCCGGAGATCTCGGCTCGGCGGCCACCCTCGAGGCGCTCGGGGTGAACCCGGAAGACGGCGTGGTGCGGGCGTCGATCGGCCACTACCACAACCGTGTGGACATCGAGCGCTTCCTGCGCCTGCTGTCCTCGCTCCGCTAGTCGCCCTCCGTTTTCCGGCGGCCATTTTTCCGGCGGCTCGGGCGCGTACGATCGCGGGTTCAACCGCCCGGTGAGGGCCTCGGCACGCGCGCCCAACTTGTCCACACCCGGTTGGGAGGCCTGCCATGAACGCTCCGTCCGCCCCGTCATCCACGTTTTCTGCGCCCGCTGCCGCTGCTCGTCCTGACAGCCGCCTTGACAGCCGGCCTGCTCGGCGGGTGCGGAGCCGAGCCGGCGCCGCCGCGGCGGGAGAGCCCGGCACCCACGACGACCTGATCGCCCTCTTCGGGGAGTGGCGGGACTTCGAAGCGCCGGAGTTTCGGGACGGCGTCCCGGACTACACGGCGCGGAGGCCATGGCCCGCCAACATGCCGAACTGTCCGCCTGGCGCGCCCGGCTGGATGCGCTCGCGCCCGGGAGCTGGCCGGTTTCCGAGCAGATCGACTGGCATCTGATGCGCGCCGAGATGAACGGGCTCGACTTCGATCACCGGGTTCGGCAGCCGTGGGCCCGGGACCCGGGTTTCTACGTGCAGATCTTCGCGGCCCAGAGCGACGTCCCGGCCCACGAGGGGGCGGTGAACCACGGATTCATCGATCTGTGGACCTACGACTACCCGCTCTCCCCGACCGACGCCGGGGAACTGGCGGCGCGGATCGGGGCCGTCCCCGGCCTCCTGGCGCAGGCGAAGGAGAACCTCGCGGCTTCGAACGCCCGGGATCTCTGGCTGGCCGGATTCCGCTATTTCCGGAACCAGGCCGCGGATCTGACCGCCTTCGGTGAGCGGGTCGCCGGGACGAGCGCCGAGCTGGATGCGGCGGTGGAGGCCGCTCACGCTGCGACGGAGGACTTTCGGGAGTTCCTCGAGGCCGAGGCTGACGGCAAGACCGGCCCCTCGGGAATCGGCGCGGACAACTACACCTGGCTGATGCGCCACGTGCACCTGGTGCCGTGGTCCTGGGAGGAAATCGTGACCCTCATCGAGCGGGAATTGGCCCGCTCGCACTCCTCGATGCGGCTCGAAGAAAACCGCAATCGGGCGCTCCCCGAACTCGAACGGATCGCCTCTCCCGAGGAGTTCGACCGGCGCCTCAACGAATCGGTCGACAACTACCTGGCGTTTCTGGAGCGGGAGGAGGTCCAGAGCACCGAGGACTACATGGATCCGGCGCTGAGGGCGGTGAACGGAACCTTCCAGCCGCTCGAGAACCCGGGCGACCTCCGGAACTTCTTCAGCGAGGTGAGCTACCGCGACCCGGACGCCTTCCGCCCGCACATGCACCACTGGATCGAGCTGGCGGCGATGCGGGACGCGCCCCACCTGAGCCCCATCCGGGCGGTCCCGTCGCTCTCCAACATCTTCGCGATCCGCTCGGAGGGACTCGCCACCGGGGTCGAGGAGATGTTCATGCACCTTGGCCTCCTCGAGGGTTCGCCGCGGTCGCGCGAACTCACCTGGATCATGCTGGCCCAGCGCGCCGCGCGCGCCATCAGCGGACTGCACCTGCACGGCGGGGACTTCGACATGGAGGAGGCGGTGGCCTTCGCGATGCGCTGGACGCCCCGCGGCTGGCTGACCGAGGGGGCCCTGGTGCGCGGCGAGCAGAGTCTGTACCTGCGCCAGCCCGGCTACGGGACCAGCTACGTGGTCGGGAAGATCCAGATCGAGGAACTGCTCGCGGAGGTGGCCGTGATGGAGGGCGACGCCTTCACCGTGAAGGACTTTTTCGACCGCTTCTACGCCGCGGGAGTGATCCCGATCACCCTGGCGCGCTGGGAGCTGACGGGGAGAAGGATCCGGTGCTGGATCTCAGGCCCTGAGGCGCGGAGCGGTTTCTCGGGGGGGACTGGTCTCCGGGGAGATCGGTAGCGGCTTCGGCGCCTACTGCATCGAAAGGACGAACAGCCCGTTGTAGATGTCGCTGACGATGATCGTCCCCGACGGCAGATACGGATACACGCTCCAGGCGCCGGCGAACCCGGCGCCGTCGCCTTGGGGATACGTGTCGAAAAAGGCGATCTCCTGCAACTCCCGGTCTGCCGGATCGCCCAGCTCCAGCACTCTCAATCCCGAGGTGTAGTTGGCCTGGAACACGCGGTCGCCCAGCACGTACAGATTGTGATCGGTCGAGCGGGTGTCCGATTCGTGCGGGTAGAGGTATACCGGGGCATCCAGGTCCGATACGTCGAACACGTGCGTGCGCGTGCGCACGCCGAAGCTGAGCTCGTCCCCTTCATCCCCCAGGAGGAAGAACCGGTGGTCCTCGGTCAGCCACCCCTGATGGACGAAGCCAAACATCTGATACGTGGTTGAGGACAGGATCAGCGGAGCGGACTTGTCGGTGACGTCCACCACTTCGAGATGATCTTCGTTGGAGCTGACGCATATCTCCCGATCGAGATGCTCGGCGTCGGGCCCCCGGTAGACGACGCACTGGGTGTCGTGCGTCGGGGCCGCGTCGTGACAGGCCCGGAATTGCGGATCGTCGGGCGTTTGGATGTCGATGATGTGCAGACCCCTTTCGCAGGTATCGGACCCCATGGCGTAGGCGAAGCCCGTCTCCTCGTTGATCGCCAGGTTGTGCGCATTCCCGAATTCGGTGTAGACGACGTCGGCGTCGAATGTCCGGGCCGCCGAGAGGCCCCTCAGGCGCGTCAGATCGAACACCTGCATGCCGTGGGCGCCGGCGTTGTCCGCGACGATGTACGCATGGTCCCGATAGACCTTGACGTCCCGCCAGAAGGACTCCTCGGTCTGGGTAGGCAGCCGCCCGAGGAAGACCGGATTCTCCGGGTCGGACACATCGACGAAGGCAGTGCCGTTGTTCATACCCATCAGGGCGACCTCCTGGCCGGTCTGCGCATCGGACCAGCCCCAGATGTCGTTGCCGGTGTTTCCGCCCATGACGTCGAGCGCCACCCGGCGGTGCAGCGCGATGCCGTCACAACGGAAGTCGCCGGCGCGGCCGTTCGTGCACATCTCGGCATCGGTGCCGAGCGGCCGTGGAGGCGGTGACGGATCCATCGAGGCGGACAGCGGGCTGCCTCCTCCGTCCCCGCACCCGTAGAGGATCGCGGTACACACCGTCGCGGCGGCGACCGCACGGGTTGTTGTCCGATCGTCATGGCTCCCGAACTCCCGGTGTCCCGTCCCGCAGCGTGGCGCCGTCGCTTCTCTCGATTGACTCTGCCACTGAGCTGTCTTCGTTTCGGCAGCGGAGCCTATCGAAAGCTCGTGCACCAGTTCGTGCATGGCGCCCCCGAGCGCGGCTGAAGGCCGGCGTTCCCTCTGGCATACTCCGGCGCCGTGAAAAGGAACCCCGTTCTTCGGCCCGTCTGTCTGCCCGTCCTTTCGCTCGTCGCCGCCGTGCTGCTGGCCGCTCCGGCCGCCGCTTCGGTCGAGCCGTTCCGGCTCGGAAGCTTCGAAGACCGGGGAGAGTCCTTCCTGGGGATCGTCCTCCGCGACGCCTACGCGGTGGACCTCGCCGGGGCCAATGCCTCCCTCGAGCGGCACAACCGGATGTGGGTGCGGCTTCCGATGCCCGAGGACATGAAGGAACTGGCGGGCCGCTGGGCGATCGGCATGCGGGACCGGGTGCACGCCATCGTGGACCGGGTGGTCCCGCTGCTCGACGGCCCCGCGGACGAGCGGCCGCGGTGGCTCCACGACCTCGAGGGGCTCCATGTCTTCCTCCGGTGCGCCCCGGGCTCATCCTCGCCACCGCGCTGAACTACCCGGCGCACGGAGTGGAGATGACCACCGGCGCGCCCGCCGGCATGTCGGACGCCTCGGCGCTCGACGAGACCCAGGTCTCGATGGACCATTTCTGGGAGCGCGAGGAAGGGGACCGGCGCCAGAACCCCTACCTGTTCATGAAGCCGGGCAGCATCGCCATCGGCCACGGCGAGCCGATCCTGATGAAGCCCGAGCGGGAGATGGTGGACTGGGAATGCGAGCTGGCGGTGGTGATCGGCCAGCCCGCGAGCGACGTGGAGGCCGGGGACGCCGGCGCCCACATCTTCGGCTACACCATGATGAACGACGTGGGCGACCGCGAAGGAAGGGGGGGACGACCGCTACGGCTCCGACTGGCTGGTGTGGAAGTCCACCGAGACCTTCGCTCCGCTCGGCCCCTTCATCACTCCGGCCGAGTTCGTCGCGGACCCCCACGTCCTCGACATCCGCTTCACGCTCTCCGGCGAGATCATGCAAGACGCCAACACCCGCCTGATGGAGCACCAGATCCCGGAGCTGATCCAGTTCGCCTCCCACAACCTGATCCTCCGGCCGGGCGACGTGATCGCCACCGGGACCCCGGACGGGGTGGGCTACGCCCGCACTCCGCCCATCTTCATGAAACCCGGCGACACCGCCGCCTGCTGGGCCGAGGGCATCGGGACGCTCGTGAACCCGGTGCGCGAGTGGACGGAATGGATCCGCTGAACTTGGGTCCGCTGAGCGGGACAGCCGGCCGCTGACCGCGGGAAAGGGCCCCCACCGGGAGAACTGGCCGCCGTGATCCAGGACCCCTTCGGGATTTTCCTGGCGCTCGCCGCCGCGGTGTTCCTCGCGGTCTGGCTCGAAGGGCGCTACCGCTTCTTCCGGAGCATGAGCGCCGGGCTCATGTGCCTCGTCTTCGGCATGGTGCTCTCGAATTCGGGGCTCCTCCCCGGGGACGCCGAGGCCTACTACCAACTCGGCAACATCTGGGTGAACGCCGCGATCGTGCTGGTCCTGCTGAACGTGGACCTGCGGACGATTCGGGACGCGGGGAAGAGCATGCTCGGGGCTTTCGGGCTCGGAGCGCTCGGCACCATGCTGGGAACGCTGGTGGCGTTTTTCCTGCTCTCCGGCTCGGTGGGCGGCGAGGCCTGGAAGCTGACCGGCCAGTTCACCGGGACCTATATCGGCGGCGGAGCCAACTTCTACGCGCTCGCGAGCGCCTTCGGCACCGACCCGAACGTCATGTCGGCGGCGGTGGCCGCGGACGTGATCGTGACCGTCGCCTGGCTCGCGACCTGCCTCATCGTCCCCGCGCTGCTCTACGGCGGGAAGGAGCTCGATCCGGTCCGGTCCGGCGACGCGCCAATGACGCTCGAGCAGCGGCTCAAGGAGAGCGGCGAGAGCCTCCGGATGATGGACTTCTTCGGGCTCGCCGCGATCACCCTGGGGGCGATGGTGACCGCGCGGCTCGCCGAAGCGGCGGTGCCGGTGGTTCCGGCGGTGCTCTGGCTGACCACCATCGCGCTCATCCTCGGCCACACCGCGCCCGTCCGGAAACTCCGGGGCGCGCCGGTGCTCGGCAACTCGCTCCTCTACCTGTTCCTCGCCGGGAACGGGGCGCAGTCGCTGGTCTCCGAGATGCTTGCCGCCGGGCCGGCGCTCTTCCTGTTCGCCCTCACCACGGTGGCGACCCACGGGCTCGTGATCTTCGGCGTCGGGCGGTTGCTCAAGTTCGACGCCGGCACCCTGGTGGTGGCCTCCCAGGCGAACGTCGGAGGCGCCGCCTCGGCGGTGGCGATCGCCTCCGCCCGCGGCTACGGCGACAAGCTGCTCCCCGGGATCGCGGTCGCGCTCGCCGGCTACGCGGTGGGGAACTACCTCGGGTTCGGGATGGGATGCTGGCGCGCACGCTGCTCGGGGGGTGAGGGGCGGGATGACCGCCGAAGCGAGGAATGACCCCGGAGGACAGGGTGGCGCGAACGGAGCGCCGGTCTCCGACCGGCATCGACCGCCGAGAGGCGGTCGAAACTCGCGTACCCCCAACTGCGCAAAAACGCGGACGGAGCGCCGGTCTCCGACCGGCATCGACCGCCGGAGGCGGTAGAAACCGCGTACCCCCAACTGCGCAAAAACGCGGACGGAGCGCCGGTCTCCGACCGGCATCGACCGCCGGAGGCGGTCGAAACCGCGTACCCCAACGCGAAAAGCGCGACGGAGCGCCGGTCTCCGACCGGCATCGACCGCCGAGAGGCGGTCGAAACCGCGTACCCCCAACAGCGCAAAAACGCGAACGGAGCGCCGGTCTCCGACCGGCATCGACCGCCGAGAGGCGGTCGAGACCGCGACACCCCGACTGCGCAAAAAGCGCGCGGACGGCTTCAAACCCCCACCTCCGGCCAGTTCTCCCGGTGGGGGCCGGCATCGCGCGCCGGAGGCGGGCGAAACGCGCTAAGCCGCCGGTGGCTGTGGCGCTAGCCGCTTGAGAAAAAACCCCGCGTCACGCAACACGTCCTCCAAGTTTCCTGTCTCCTGGCACGTTTCGAGGAAGAGGCTGACGGCTTCGCGGAGGTTCTCTTCGGCTTCTCGTCGTGTGTCACCCTGGGTGCTCACATCGAGATCAGGACACCACCCGATCCACTGCTTGCGTTCCCGATGGAACTTCGCCCTCAGTGTGATCGCTTGCAATTGTTTTTCGGCCCCGGAGGGCCGGCGTAGTCCAATTCAGGTAACTACTTGGTGGGCCGCTTGCCCACCGCAACCACCATTGGCCCGTCGCCCCACACTGAGGCCACTCGAAGCCGGCGGCGCGCATCGCCGCGGCCTCCTCTGCGGGCGGAAAGTAGGTGTCCTCTTCCTGCCACTCGGCGAAGTGCCGGTAGGCGCGCTCCTCCGAAATCCCGCAGGACACGAGATGAGCGGTCCAGGCGCGCCAGGTCACCTCGCGGGGCCCGGGATCCGCTGGCATCGTGACGTCGGCGTTCACGAAGACGCCCCCCGGGCGGAGGCAGTCGTGAATCCGAGCGAAGAGCCGCCGCTTCGCGTCCATCGTGGGGACGTGGTGGAGTGCCAGCGAAGCGGCGACCGCATCGGCCTCCGGGAGGGGATCGTCGAAAGACGCCTCGCGAAAGCGTGCCCGGGCGCCGAAACGGGCGAGGCGTTCCCGCGCCCTCGCGAGCATGTCGCGATCCAGGTCGATCAACTCGACCACGGCGATGCGGGGCCGCGAGGAGGATTGCCTCGGAGAGGGCGCCGGTGCCGCCGCCGAGGTCAAGAACGCGTCCCGGCTCCACGCGCGCGATCTCGGCGGCGGCGGACTCCAGCATCGCCTCGTAGCCCGGGATGAAACGCCGGATGGCCTCATCGTAGGCGTCGACCTCAACACGGAGGTGGCGCCGAACTGAATGACGGCTCACTGGTCCATTGTTCCACCCTGACACGTCGTATCGCCCGGCTGCGAGCGGTTGCTGGTCGCGTGGTTGTGAACGACCCTCGGGTTCGGGGTGGGGATGCTGGCCCGGACGCTGCTGGGGAGTCAGGGAGCGCGACCGCCGGGACCGCCGGCCTTCAGGCCGGCATCGCCCACAGGCTGTTAACGGAGTGCGTATCCGAGGTCGGCCGCGATTTTCTTCAGGACCGGAAGAAGCGCCGGATCCTCCAGGGTGCGGTGGAAGGCGGGCCGGGGCGGCCCGAAGCCGCTCGCCCGGGCGCGCTCGTTGAACACGAACTGCCTTCGGTTGGCGTACATCCCCGAGGGATAGCACAGGCCCGCGAGGTCCGGCCAGGCCTCGTAGAACGCCCGCGCCCAGTTCCGGGCGACCGGCCGCGGGCCGGTCATCAGACCCATTGAGGCGCCCGCTCGCGTCGGGAAGCCTCCGGTCAGGTCCAGCAGCCGCACGGCGGCGGCCGTCTCGAATGCGACCAGCGAGGGCGCCGCATGCCGGCGGCCGATCACCCGCGTTCGCTGGAAGACTTCGGCGAAGCAGGTGGTCGGATCCTCTGCCGCATAGAGGACAGCGCGGTCCTGCCCGGTGGGCGCTTTGCCCTCGTGGTGATCGAAGCGGGCGCTCGCGGCCGGGCCAACGTGGCGGAAGTCGTTCCACCGAGTCGGATAGCGGCCGGCGCGGAAGTAGAGCCGCCAGACGAGAGCCCCCGGTGCGAGCGTTGCAACGGCGGGGACGAGCGTGCCGAGGACGGCGGCGGACGGCAGGCGGGGAACCTTCGCCACCGCCGGCAACTCACAGTTCGCGGGCGGCGGCGATCACGGGTGTCGGGTCGCGGCCTGCCTTCAGCCATTCCAGTGGACTGAGGGTCCGCTCGTCCGGCGCCCGCAGGTCCGGATCGGGCGTCGTGTACCAGCGCTGCAGCGAGACGGCGTCGATGGTTCCGGGCGCCGCGCCATTCACGGCGCCGATGTTGGGTACCAGCCCGTCGGGTGTGAACTGGAAGAGGGGAACGCGCCATCGTCCGCCGACGCGGACCGCGAACAGAGTGCCCGACTGAATCCTCTGCCGGACGCGCGCCGGAGAAACACCGAGCCGGCCGGCGGCGTCGGCCGGGGACAGCGAAGTGGAAAGGATCGCCGCGAACTCCACGGCGTAGTCCGCCAGCGGGTCCGGCGTGCCGGGGTATTCCGCCACTGCGATTCCGCCCCGCCGCAGGACCGCGAGTTCCGGATCCGTCAGTTCGTTGTCCGAAGCGGGATAGAGCAGGCCTCGCAGGGCGCTGATCGCATCCCGAAGCGCCTGGTTGAGCGTCGCGGGGGCCTCGGCGGACAGCCCGTGCCACTGGAAGTAGCGGGCGTCGGCCGAATCGGACGGTTCCGGAAGTTCGTGGGTCACTTGCGTAATATTACGTCAGAAGAAAACGAAAGCCCAAGCGATGCGGAGGGGACTGACCGCGTCGCCGCGTGGCGACGTGGGAATCGGGCCATGCCCCAGCTCACGGGTGGGGTCCACCTCTCCCCACCAGGCGGAGCGGCACACCGGCCAGGGAACGCGCCGGACCTCCGGCCAGTTCTCCAAGTGGAGGCCAGCACCGCACGCCGGAGGCGGGCGAAACGCGCTAAGCCGCCGGGAGCGGTGGCGCTAACCGCTTGAGAAAAGGCCCCGCGGCACGCAACACGTCGTCCAAGGTCTCCATCTCCTGGCACGTCTCGAGGAAGAGCCGTCCACGCTACGGCTTGCGGTCGTAGCCCACCAAGTGCTTGTCGAGAGACCAGATGCGCACCCGTGCCTCCGGGTGAAGGGCGCATCTGGTCTTCCAGAGCTCGATCATCGAGAGGTCGGCGATGCCGACGTTCCGCCGCGCGCACTCCGGAAAATTGTCCAGCCATCCGCTGATTTCGTCTCCTTCCGGTAGGGGAACGAGCACCCAGGGTGCCTTCCCATCCAGGGCCATCCGTACCTGTTCACAGAAGAGCGATGCGTAGTGGCCACGATGTCCGCCGTCCGAAAGCTGGGCTATGTGGTTCCCCGTCTCAAACACTGCCGCGAGGGGAAGCAGCAGCCTCGCGTCCGCGTGCGCGAACTCTTGGAACTGCCCATCGACATCCTCCCGGTGGTCATTGAACCCCGGAACATCTAGGAGGTTTAGGAGCACCGACGTGTCCACGATGACCACGTCGGACATATCGGGTCAGCCGGTCTTTGTCCGGAGATCCTCCAGCCAAGAGAGAGCTCGCTCCCTCTGCTCCTCAGGCGAAGTTCGATCCCTGACCACCCGCTCAATGACTCCACGCGTCATCAGTTGTCCGACGGGCCCCTGGGCGATGAGTTCCGGGTACCGAGAGATTTCAGCAAGGCGGACGAGGTCGCTCGCGCCGCTGTCGGAGTCCCGGAGGCACAGGATGACCCCCCCGAGGGCATCGTCAGGGACCGCGTCGAGGAGGGCGGGATCGTGGCTTGTCGTGAGGATGCGGACGCTCCGTCGGGCGGCAACGGCAATCAATCTGCTCAGGAGCGCACGGGCGCGACTGGGATGCACGCCTGCGTCCAGTTCCTCCACCACGACGAGCCCGCCCTCGGGCGCCGAGAGTACGGCGGCAGCAACGGCCAGCACCCGGAGCGTTCCGTCGGAGAGCAGGGTTACGTCCGTCTCCAGCGCGACACTACCGAAGGTCTCGGTCAGGTGCACCATTACCTCGTCGCGCGGGGTTTCGATGAAACCGATGTCGCGGATCGCCTGCTCGGGAAGGATGCTGACCAAATCCAGGATCTCTGCCTTCACTTGAGGATCCAGACACAGGTTGTAAAGGACCCCAGAGAGGTTGCCGCCGTCGCTGGCGAGCTGGCTGGCGGACTTGCGGCTGTATACCCGCATGGCGGCTGGATGTGCATCGAGGAAGACCAGAGCCGAGAGCCATGCCTGGTACTGCGCGGCGACCGCGCGCACTTCGGGGACGTTCCCCGGCGCGTCGTCAAATCGGGGAAGATTCTGGGATTGCACCAGGACGGCTACCTGATCCGTGAACGACGCCTCCAGAGGCTTCTCCGAGGGTCGGGCGGCCTTGATCCGCGTGCGCAGTTCCTTTCCCGTGTGCTCCTCCCAGAACCTTGTTTCGAAGAGTGGCGGGTCGCTCTGGGAACTGCCAAGCTCCTCGCCAACGATCCGTAGTGTGTCGTCCAACGAGGCCAGGGTGATTGTGTACGTGTCCCAGCGGGGATGCGTTGTTTCGCAAACGAAGGAGAAGTGCGTCTCGCCCCGGTAAGGGAGCTGATTGGGACCGCCCCGGAGGGAGCGGTGCCCATTCGTTGTAAACGGGTTGGAGTCGAGCCGGTTCCCTTGGGCGATCCAGGAGAGCAGGCGAAGCCCCTCCATCGCGTTGCTCTTGCCCGAAGCGTTGGCGCCGATCACGACAGTCAGCGGCCGCAACGTCAACGTCGCGTCCTTGAAGCTGCGAAAGTTCTCGATCGTGATGCTGGAGAGCATGGTGCGTCGCCCCCGGTCGGCGGATCGATTGACCGCGGTACCGGATCTTGGCTCTGGATCAAGGATAGCCCGAGACCCCGTTTGTCGGCCCAGCTTGGCCGCGCTGCGGGCGGCGATCCCGACCTGGAGGTCGGTGCTCCTCCTCGGCGTTTCCAAGCGGTTGCTGTGCCAACGGAGGTGGCCGTCCCCAAGCGTTGCTGTGGTGAGGGTGGATGAGGGGGTGCGGTCTCGACCGCCTTTCGGCGGTCGATGCCGACAGGAGGCCGGTGTTCCCGGACCGGGTGGGCTGTGAAGGAAGGTGGGGTTGTGCGGTTGCGCGGCGCTCTCGCACCTCCGGGAGAACTGGCGCGGTGCTGGCCTGGAGGCCGGCGGTCCCTGATTACCGCACGATGATCTCGTCCAGGTAGATCCAGGCGGTCTCTCCCTCCCGCCGGCGCGCCGTCGGGGACCGTCGGCCAGGGGGCGGGGACCTCGCCGAGGCCGGTGATCCGGACCCGCACGAAGCGCGCCTCGTCGCCGGCGAGCGGGACGGTGATCCGTCTGCGGCCACCGTCGGGGACGTCGGCTCCGGCGTCCGCGGATCCGCCACCTCGCGCGCCACCGGCTCGGACCACGACTCCCCGTCGAGGCTCGTCGCGACCTCCACCCGCCGGGGGAAGTACACCCCGGAACCCGGGTGCTGGAGGAAGGACAGCTTCACCGACCAGACCGGCTGCGCCGGCCCGAGGTCCAGCCGGGCGCTGACCTCGTCGGTCCGGTAGCCCTGCCAGTGCCCGCCGCGGCGGTCCACCGAACCCCGGACGCCGTCGGTGAGCCCGGCGTCGCCGGCCGCCGAATAGGGGGACGACTGGGGCGGATCCACTTCCGCCGTCACCCCCCGGGCGAGATGCGCCGCCAGGTTCCGCTCGGCGAAGTCGTGGAGCTCGAGGGAGCGGGCGTACACCTCCGTCTCGGCGGCCTCGTCGGGGAGGACGAGCCGCGCCAGCACCCCCGGATCGTCGCTGGGACCGAGCGGGCGCATCAGGAACCGGTACTCCAGGTTCTGCGGCCAGAGCGTGTATTCCCGGTGCGGGACCGCGCCCCAGGAGTCGTCGCCGCCGACCCCGGCCTGGCGGAAGTCCACCGCGAGCGTGATCTCGCCCCGGGGCTCGACTTCGGCCCAGTGGGTCCGGCTCTTCGTCTCGCCGCCGTCGAGATCGGAGATCCGGTAGGGCAGCGCGGAAAACGACAGATGGGGCAACCCGATGACCAGGAGTCCCGTCCCCGCCTCGTCGGTGAGCGCCGCCCAGCGCACGTCGCTCCGCGTGCCCGTCTCCTGCGGGCGGACGTAGGGGTGGGCGAGTTCGGACACCGCCGCCCGGTAGCGGCCGACCGCGGCCCCGGTCCGGCGGTCCCAGTAGTTCTCGTGGGGCCCGCGTCCGTACCACTCCGCCTGGCTCAGCGACCCGGGCAGCGTGAAGAGCGTCCCGAACCGCGGCATCTCGGGCAGGTCCTCGCTCACGCCGGAAAGCCGCGCGGAGACCGCCACCGTGCCGTCCCCGAAGACCTCGTGCAGCAGCGTGTAGAAGGCATCGACCGAACGGAGTGAGAACCGGCTCTCCACCTCGACCCGGCGCCGGTCGGCGTCCTCGCGCACCAGGACGGCCTCGAGCACGCGCGCCGGCGGGCTCCCCGCCGCCTTCCAGACCCCGGAACGCGCCGGAAAGCCGTTCCCGTAGTCGTTGTCGGTGGGCGCCCGCCAGAAGTTGGGGGCCGGCCCGGAACTCACCAGTTCCCGCCCGCCTGCCCGGAAGGAACTGAGGGTGCCGAGCTCCCGGTCGAACGCAACCGTGAACCCCCGGCCGTTGATCGTGACCGCGTCCTCCGACTCCCGCACCCTCATCGGCTCGATCGGGGGCGGCTCCGGAGGCGGGGGTTCTTCCTCCTCCGGCTCCGCTTCCGGATCTTCCTCCTCGCCTTCCGCCGGCTCTTCCTCGTCCTCTCTTCTTCTTCCTCCTCGATGTCGTCGGGATGCACCACGTCCACGAAGAACTGCTCCCAGGCCACCTCGTGGCCGGCCGGGACCAGCGGCCCGTCCTCCCGGGTCCGGAAGCGGACGGTGAGCAGCCGCTCCATCAGGGGTTCGATCTCGGTCTCCGGAATGTCGAAGGTGACGGCCTCCGCGGCGCCCGGCGGGATCTCGAGCGGCGGCACGGTTCCCTCGGCGAGCACCACCCCGTCCGCCGTGAGTTGCCAGCTTCCCGCGAGGTCGGAGAGATCCGTGAAGGCGCGCCGGTTCTCGACCTCGATCAGCCCCGACCGGGCGTGGAGCGCCCGGATCCGGACCGGCTGATAGACCTTCTTCACCTCGAAGGCGTGCGGGTGGGGCTTGCGGTCGGCGGAAACCAGGCCGTTCACGAGGAAGTTGCCGTCGGTCGGGATCCCCGCCGGCCCGATGTCGCCTCCGTAGGCCCAAAACGGGCGCCCGGATTCGTCTTCCCGCAGGATCGCCTGGTCCACCCAGTCCCAGATGAAGCCGCCCACCAACTTCGGGTCGCTGTCGATCACCTCCCAGTAATCGGCCAGGTTCCCGACGCTGTTTCCCATGGCGTGGGCGTATTCGACCAGCAGGAAGGGCTTTTCCGACCCCGACGCCGCGTAGTGCTCGAGCCAGTAGGGACGGACGTACATGGGCGCCACGATGTCCACGATGTCGCGTTCGCCCGCCGGTTCGTAGAGGATCGGACGCCAGGGGTCGAACTCGCGGATCCACTCGGAGGTGGCGTCGAAGTTCTCCCCGTCGCCGGCCTCGTTGCCGAGCGACCAGACGATCACCGATGGATGGTTCCGGTCGCGGATGACCATCCGCTCGGTGCGGTCGAGATGGGCGTCCCGCCACTCGGGACGCCCCGCGAGCGTCACCTCGGGCAAGTAGCCCATGCCGTGCGACTCGATGTTGGGTTCGTCCACCACGTAGAGCCCGTGCTCGTCGGTCAGCTCGTAGAAGCGGGGCAGGTTCGGGTAGTGGGCCGTCCGCACCGCGTTGATGTTCAGAAGCTTCATGAGCCGGATGTCTTCCAGCATCGAGTCCTCGTCCACCACGTGTCCCCGCTCGGGGTCGTGCTCGTGCCGGTTCACTCCCCGGAGCACGATGGGCCGTCCGTTCAGCAGCAGCTCGCCGTCCGCCGTCTCGATCCGCCGGAACCCGATCCGGACCGCGGTGGCTTCGGCCACCCGACCGTCCGCGCCGACGAGCGACAGCACCAGCCGGTAGAGATGCGGGGTCTCGGCGGACCAGGCGCGGACATCGGGGATCGTCTCGGTGGCCCCCATGGATGCCTCGCCCCCGGACGGCACGTCGAGCCGCAGCTCCCGGGGGCCGCCCCAGACCGGGTTGTCGTCCGGATCGAACAACTCGTAGCGGACTTCGTAGGCCCCCGCCTCACCGAGCCCCCGATTCGCGACGCTCGCGCTGAAGTCCACGATGCCGTCGCGGTATCCCGTGACCAGGTCGGCGTTCGCCGAGAAGTCCCGCAGGAAGGTCGGCGGCCGGGCGAGGAGGGAAACCTCGCGGTCGATGCCGCTGATCCGCCAGAAGTCCTGGCTCTCCAGATAGCTGCCGTCGCTCCAGCGAATGACCTGCACCGCGAGCGTGTTCGTTCCGGTCGTGACCTGTTCGGTGATCCGGAACTCGGCCGGCGTCCGGCTTCCCTCGCTGTAGCCGACGAAGGCGCCGTTCACCCAGACGTAGAACGCGGAGTAGACCCCGTCGAAGCGAAGGAAGATCTCGTTGCCCTCCCACCGCTCGGGGACCCCGAAGGCGCGCCGGTAGGAACCCACCGGGTTGTCGTCTTCCGGCACGAAGGGCGGGTTCGCCGGGAACGAATAGGACTCGTCCCGATACACGGGATAGCCGTAGCCGAGCAGTTCCCAGTTCGAGGGCACCGGGATCTCGTCCCAGGAGGAGTCGTCGAAGTCCGGCTCGAAGAACCCCTCGGGCCGGTCGGCGGGGCGGGGGACGAAGTGGAACTTCCAGTCGCCGTTCAGAGAGACCCGGCGGGGCGAGTCCTCGGGACGGCCTTCGATGGCTGCATCGGCGGCCGGAAACGGCGTGAAGGAGGCCCGGGGCGGCTCGCGGCCGATCTGGAAGACCAACGGGTCCTGCCAGGGCGGTGGATCCTGCCAGGGCGGGGGACCCTCGGGCGGCTGGGCGGCAACCGGCAGCGCCGGCAACACCGAGAGGAAGGCGGCGCCCAGCCGGCGGCGGATTCGGAGAGACACGGGGTGCGCGGACATTGTTTTCCGTCCCAGGGTTATCCGTCCCAGGGTCATCCGTCCCAGGGTTATCCGTCCCATTGTTATCCGTCCCAGGTGTAGCGCACCCGGGCGTAGAGGAACACTCCGTTGAAGCCCCAGGGGGTGTACTCGCTGTAGCGCTCGCCCACGTCGCGGGCGTTCGGGCTCTCGGCGGAGAAGGTGTTGAAGACGTTCTGCGCGCCGAGCGCGAGCGCGGTGCGGCCGGAAACCGGCAGGCTGATTTCGACATCCGCCACCGGCTTGCCGCCGAAGAGCGTCTGGGCGCTGTCCCAGTCGAACCACGCCCCGTAGTAGCCCACCCGTCCGAGGATTTCGGCGAACCCGACGCGGCTCGTGACGCTTACGTTCCAGCGGTTCCGCGGCAGGGAGGACTCGAACTCGCGCACCCGGCGTTCGGGCTCAAGCAGCTGCGGATTGAAGCGGGTCACGACGGTGGAAGTGTGGTTCAGCGCGGCGCTGACCCGGGTGCCGCCCCCCAGCGCCCGCGGCGTCCAGGTCGAGACGATGTCCACACCCTGGGTGCGGGTGGCGACGCCGTTCGTGAAGAAGCGGAAGCTCGCCAGCCCCCGCGCGTTGTCGACGCCCGCGGCGAGGAGCTGTTCCACTTCCTCCGGGCGGAGGGTGAAGTCGCTGGTGACCGCGAGCCGGTCTTCGAGATCGACCCGGAAGACATCGGCGGTCAGCGTAAGCCGGCCGTGCTCGACCACCGCCCCCGCCGAGGTGTGCTTCGACGTTTCCGGGGCGAGCGGTCCTCCGCCGCGGAGCTCGGCGACCGGGGAGGTGGACGGGATCGTCCCGCGCTCGGTGAGGTCCCGGAGCACCGGGTCGAATTTGGTGGAGACGTTGAAGGAGTTCTGCTGGCCCGGGGTCGGCGCCCGGAACCCGGTACCCACGCTGGCGCGGAGCGAGAGTCCGCGGCTCACCCGGTAGCGTCCCGCCAGCTTGCCGTTGACCGTGTTCCCGAAGTCCTCGAAGCCCTCGAAGCGCTCCGCGCGGAGCGCCCCGCCGAGGAGCCAGCGCCCGCCTTCGCCGGTCAACTCGATGTCGCCGTAGGCGGCCGCGCTGTCTCGCCGCCAGTTCCCGGCGGCGATCGGGCCGTAGCCGCCGTAGCCGTTGGAGCCCGCGCCGAACCCCTGGGCGGCGTAGGGGCCGACCTCCCACGAATCCGGCTCGCCTTCTTCGATCCCGTACTGCTCCCGCCGCCATTCGAGGCCGCCCGCGAGGTGGACCCGCTCGCCGAGCGGGCGGGTGGCGTCGACGTTCAGGGCGATCTCCCGCTGCCGGTTGGCGCCGAGATCGAAGTCGGTCGGGGTCGCCGGGCCGAGGGAGGCGTTGACGGTGTCCTCGAGGAAGAAGGCGGCGCGGTGGGCGCCGATGCTCGCGCTCGCGTCCCAGGTGACGCCTCCGGGGTTCAGGCGGCGTACGCCGGCCACCACCGCCGCGTCGGTCGCGGAGCCGCCGAAGGTGGGAGTGAAGCCCCCCGGAAACCGCTCCTGGAACGAGAAACACTGCTCGTCGGCGAAGACCCGCGCGAGGGCGTCGGGGTCGGGGACGTGGTCCACGACCCGCACCACCGGACAGTTCGCCGAACCGGCTCCCTCGGCCGCCAGCGCGTCGCCCACCAGCAGCGTCTGTCCGCCGTCGGCGCTGAAGACGCCCCCGCGGGCGTTCGGGTTGCGGAAGAAGAAGCTGCCGCTCACCGTGCGGCTCGCGTACCCCGCGTGGCCGTAGAGCTGCACGCCGCCGTGGAAGAGGTGGCCGAAGTTCCCGAACAGCTTGAGATCGCCGTCCACGTCGGGCGAACCCCAGACCTGCGCCGGGTCCTGGACGCCCCGGTTGCCCGCCGCGATCAGATCCGCCACGTCGCTGCGCTGCACGCCGCGGTCGGTGGGTGCGGCGCCCCCGTACTCCAGGCTCAGGTTTCCGAAGCCGGCGGCCCCGAGCGGGAGCCCGACGTTTCCGGCGAAGTTCCAGGTCTCGCCGTCCCACGCCTCTCCGTGGACCCCGCTCAGGAATTCGACGCTGCCCCCGGAGCGGTCGTCGCGCAGCAGGAAGTTGATGACCCCGGCGATGGCGTCCGAGCCGTACTGGGCCGTCGCGCCGTCGCGCAGCACCTCGACCCGGCGGAGCGCGATGGACGGAATTGCCGCGAGATCCGGCCCCTGCGAGCCGAACGAGACGCCGTTTCCCCCGTTCCAGTCAACGACCGCCGAGCGGTGCCGGCGTTTGCCGTTGATGAGGACGAGCGTGTGGTCGGGCGCCAGGTTGCGCAGCATCGCCGGCCGCACGAGCGTGGAGGCGTCGCTGATCGGTTGGATGTTGACGGCGAACGACGGGACGACCGCGCGGAGCCGCTCGTAGATGGAGGGCGGCCCCTGGTTCAGGAGGTCCTCGGGGCGGATGGCGTCGATCGGCGCCGCCGACTCGACCACCGAGCGGGGCGTGGCGCGGGTGCCGACGACGACGACCTCTTCGGTAAAGCGAGGAGGCTCCGCGTCCGCTTCGGACTCGGGCGGGGCGCCGGGTTCGTGCTGTTCCGCCGGCGGCTGCGGATCTGTCCCGTCGCTCTTCCGGCGGCCGGGTTGGCTGGCCGGCGGCCGCGGCCCCCGGGTCCGGAGCGAACCACGCCAGCACGACCAGGGACGGCCGCGATCCCGGGGGCGCCGGCCTGCCGCGTCATCGCATGCCGCGTCATCGCATGCCGCGTCATCGCATGTCGCGTCATCGCATGTTGGGGAGCGGGGCTTCGGGGGAGCCGAGGTGGCCGGATTCGATGAACGCCATGATCCCGAAGAGCGCGCCCCACGAGTGGAAGGGATCGCTCGAAAGACGCTCGTCGTCCCCCGTCCCCGTGATCGAGGAGATGTTTTCGCTCACGTAACCCTTCCGCCGCCACTCCCGGAGAAACATATCGAGAGAACGCGCCGAAAGTTCGGCCGCGGTCGCCCGGTCGCCGGCGCGCCGGAGCCCCAGGTAGGTGAGGAAGTTGAGCGGCGGCCAGATCGCGCCTTTCCAGTAGCGCTGGCGGGGGAAGGAGGGGTCGTCGCGCGTCGTGGACGGGAGCACGAACTCGCCCCAGAATTCCTCCGGATTTCGCAGGTGCTCCCGGATGAGGCGGCCGGCGCGCGCCTCCGACGCGACCCCGGCGAGGAGCGGGTAGAAGAGGGTGGGGGAGCGGCGCTCGGAGGGCCGACCCAGGTCGGTGCGGTAGTTGAGGTAGTAGCCCCGCTCTTCGGACCAGAGGGCGTCGAGCGCGGCGCCGAAGGCGCCCGCCCGGGCTTCGAGCTCGTCCGCTTCGGCCGCCCGCCCGAGGAGGCGCGCGAGCTCGGCAAGCGCCCGGCAGTCGGCGATATAGAGGCTGGTCAGCCCGACGTCCTGAAGCTCGAGGACGTTCCGCTCGCGGTTGAAGGGGACGTCCTCGTACATCGGCGAGTCGTCCATCCCGGACTCGTAGCCGGCGGCGGTCTTCGTCCGCGCCACCGGCTCGGCGAAGGGGTTCGGCGCCTGGTGGGATCCGTAGGAGAGGAGGTCGCCGTTGCCGCGGGCCTCCGGCCACCAGCGGTTCCAGGCGAGCAGCGGCTCGAAAACCGCTTCCAGGAACCAGCGTTCGGGGAAGCGGCGGTACACCTCGCGCACCATGATCCCGCCCACCGGCGGCTGGGACCGGTCCCAGGACTTGCTGCCGTTCCCCCGGTTGTCGTTCGGCAGGAACCCCTCGGCGGTGTGGCCGCGCAGGTGTTCGACGATGGCGGCGAGCGCCAGGTCGCGACTCTCGAGCGAGGCGAGGTAGCCGAGGAAGAAGTTGTCCCAGCCGAAGAGCGCGACGCCGCCGTACTCCTGGTTCCAGAGACGGCCGACGGTGGGGACCACCCGCCGGTGGCGGGGTTCGTACACCGTGTTCCAGGCGAACCCGGAAGTCACCGCGAGCCACGCCTCCGCGAGTTCCCCGAATTCCGCGGCGCGGGCTTCGAGTTCTTGGCGCCGGGCGTCGAGCGTCCGGCGGATGTCGGAGGTCGTCTTTGCCGGCTCCCCCCGGCGGCCGGTGAACACCACCGGCGGGCGCGCTGAGCCGCACCACCCGGTGCGGCGTCAGGCCGCCGGCGTAGGGGTCGTCCTCGTGGATTCCCGCGACCCGGATCGCCTTCTCGCCGTCCGGCAACCGGGCGACGAGCCCGTCGACGTACCCGTCGAGGAGCCCGTCGGGGAGCCCGTCCGGCGCCGATTCCACCGAGCCGGGGCGATTCCAGGCCATCCCCGCGCTCACCACCAGTTCGAAGGGGGCGTCGGAGGCGGCGTCGGAGGGGGGCTCCGGAGTCACCAAGACCACCAGCTCGCCGTCCTCGTCGCGTCCTGCCTCCACCACCGCCGAGAGGCCCCGCCAGGCGATTTCGAGCCGCTGGTAGGACCCATCGGCGGCCCGGATCCCGGGACGCACCGTCTCGGCGCCTTCTTCCCGCCGCCCGATGAGCGCTTCGCCGAGATGGTCCTCATCGAGGAACGCGTGCCGCTTGAGGCCGAGGTTCACCGCGAGCCCCTCGGGCAGGAGCACGTAGCGCAGCACGCTGCGGCTGTCCCAGGTGTTCCAGCCGGTGGCGAGGCGCCCCTGGATCGCCCGGTACTCCGGAACGTCCCCAAGGCCCGTGTCGTACTCGGCGTAGCGGTCCGGCCAGTCGGGTGCGGTGTCCTCACCCGAGGCCGGCGCGGTCTCCGGCGCCCCGCACCCGGCCATGGCAGCCGCCCAGGCGAGCCCGAAGAGAAGGGCGCGCAGAATCCGTCCCGCGGTCCTGGCGCCGCGCGCCGCGCGACAGGTGGGGCCGGTCGGCGCGATCACGGCGGCCGGGGCAGCCGCTACTCCATCTTCCAAAAGGCGATGCCGGAGGCCTGTTTCCCGACTTCGACGACCGCCTCCCGTTCCAGGGACTCGAGGTTGTAGAACTCGACCCGCCCGGGCTCACCCCCGATTTCCTCCACGGTGACGATGGCGAAGCGGCTGTCGGGCGTGATGACCACCCCGT